CAGTCCCTGCAGTTGATGGCGTCCCCATAGCCAGGAGTGTCCACCACTGTAAGGCGCAGCTTGACTCCACGCTCTTCAATCTCAACAGTGGAAGCCTCAATTTGGACAGTTCTTTCAATTTTCTCTAAAAAAGAAAGAAACTTAATAAAGAAAATACCTTAAAAGCTAAGCCAGTATGCAAAGAGGAGAAATTACCTGTTACCAATGTTATTTTAAGTAATTTGGAAGATCACTCAATCTCTTTGGAGGCAGGGGCTCAGAGGTAATGCAGAGACTGTCAAACAGTCCCAGAGTCAGCAAGGGAAATGGAATTAAGATTGCCTTCCCTCCTTGGGAAGGTTAAAAACACCAACACGGGCCAGGTGCAGAGGCACACATGTATAACCCTGCTATTCTTGAAGCTGAGGCAGGCTGCAAATTCGAAGSCAGCCTCAGCAACTTAGTGACACCCTATTCCAGAGCAAGACTTAAATAAAAACCACTGGGGATGCAGCTTAGTGGCAGRATGCCCCCAGGTTCAATCTCCAGCGGTGGGGGGTATAGGAGGGGAGGGGAAGCAAGAGGATGGCAAGTTCAAGGACAGCCTGGGAAACTTAGCAAGAATCTGTCTTTAAAAAAAAGTGGGGGTGGGGGGATGATTCAGGGACTAACTCAGTGGCAGAGAGCTTATTTTATTTAGCATGTGCAAGGCCCTGGGCTCAATCCTTGCGCCACACTACATAGACAAATAGAGACAATATTAAAATGGTTAATTTGGGATGAGTAAGAGTCGGTGAGAGGGCTGCATCCTTCTTGTGGCTGCCCAGGACCCAGGCTGACTGTGGGCTCCTCTGTTCGCTGAACAAGCAGTGATGGATGCTGCAGCCAACACTGAACACTCAGATGCCAACAAGTCAGACACCTGCTGCGACAGGGACTATCCACATATGCAGCATTTTWAAAAAATATTTATTTTTTAGGTGTAGATGGACACAACACAATGCCTTTATTTTTATATGGTGCCGAGGACGGAACCCGGGACCCGCCCGTGCTAGGCGAGCGCTCTACCGCTGAGCCACAACCCCCACCCCAACATATGCAGCATTTTAATGACATAAAACTTTCACTTGGTCCTCTTATCCAACAACATGGGCAGGGACCGTCTTTTACATTCACGGGAGGGACACATGGGTGTGTGTCAAGCACCCACACAGCCAAGGTGGCAGGGCCTCAGGTGCAGGAAGCTACCCCTAGGTGGAGTTCTCCTTGTGTTCCAAGAAAACATTAGAACAGAACATCAAAACAGAGTYAGAGGTGAAGTGTTCATGATGCACTCTTCAGCACATTCACAGAGCTACAGTGAGCACAGAGGAACTTTTTTACCTGCAGCTCCAGGTATGATTCTTTCCGGGTAGAGATCAGTCAGGAACAGGCTGTTGATGAGAGTCGACTTTCCTAGACCCGATTCACCTTTAAATGGAAAGCAGAGCCTGGTCAGGACCTCCTCCACAGTGTGCCACATGCTTCTGGAGGGTGAGCACGGGGCAGTCCTAGACTGGTGCCTCAGGACCACCACCCTGTTCACACCGTGACCAGGAACCAGGCACCACCACCCCTCGGGCCCACAGAGGGGGAAACCCAGGCTCAGGGACAGGAACTTGCCCAGCTCAGGGAGCTATCCAGTTTGGATTGAGGTCTATGGGATTTGAGAACTGATTAGAAACCCAATTTCACCTCTTCACAAATTTATGGACTATACTTTGGAGTCGTTCTTTCTTTTGTGATAAACAGAATGCAAAGCAGGTTTCTGACAGGGAGCTCTGCTGACCCTCACAGAGCACTTGAGAAGACTCTGACACACCTGAACCACAGTGCCCCTGGCACTCCTGCTGCAGGGCTGGCCACCTGGCAGGTTCCCTGGCACACACTCCCATGTGACCTCCTCCGGTCTGACACACACCCCCCTTGCTGCCTCCCACCTGGCTTCCTGACCCGCTCTGCTTGAGAGACAGTACCAGTTGAGACAGTACACGCCCTCTAGAACGCCCAGGTTAAGGAGCCCTCTTCAGCTACTCAGAATGTTTGACATTTAACTCCAAAAAAATACAAAATACCAAAAATTAAATTTTATACTGGAAGGAAGTTCAAATCCAATCGTTCATCACTGGTTGTCACCCAAGGCACCATTCTGCAAGATGCGTGCTTCTGAGCTTGGCATGACTTGTACCAGTGCTGGACCTTCCCAGGCCCCTGTTGAACTGGCCTCTGCTCAGTCCTGCACAGCATGGGAGAGGAGTACAGGTCTATTTTAAAAACCATTACTGGGAAAATCAAGGGAAAAGGTGAACTAGAAATGTGTACATACACAGGATTTGGACTGTGTTGTACATGGCACTTTCCATAGGAGACAAGGACAGAGCTAGAGTTATGTGCTCAATATACCCAAATAAAACCCCACACCACCAACTAAATGGCCAACAGTTACTCTTAGCAAACCGCTTGGTGATCCTTCTACGTCACATTCCATGTGAAGAGATGTTATCAATATTTACTGAGAGGCACAGTTCCAGGCATGGGGACAGGACAGGGAATGGGACAGAGCAGTCCCTGCTCACAGAGCTTGCAGTTCAGTGGGGCAGACGATGAACAAACAGAACCACCACCAACAGGCGCCCAGCAGAGGAAGGCACAGCTGAGAAGGATGGTGCCCATGGAAACGAGGTCTGAGCAGAGGAGCCCAAGCTGCTGCTCTTGGGAAATGCTGCCTGTGGAAACCTTCACTTACGGGAGTGTGTGCATTCCCCTCGGCACAGTGGCAGACATCTGCTCCTGGGCCAAGAGCATCATGCTGCTGCTGGGCCAGCCGGAGCGTACCTCACTCCACCTTGGCCACGAGCTATCACAACAGGGGAAATAAGACACATCAGGAAAGATTTAGATCAAGGTAGGCCCATCGCCATCCAAAAACAATCACAAGACAGTGGGGTCCAGCAGTGTCATGTTCACGTACAGAAAAAAGCAAAGGCTGGCCGGTGGAGGCGCTCCCAGTCTACAGAACGGCTCCTGTCTGCACGAACCAGGACACAGCAGCCCTGGGCCAAGCGGCACCATGAAGAAGACACAGAGAGGAAGAAAGTCCAGCCTTTCAGTCCCACCAGGCAAAACATCACCAAAGTTTTAGATTTAATTTTAAGTCTTTAAATCTTAAGGAATCTCTCTTCATGTTAGTTTCTCGATTTTTGACCAAAATGATTACCAAGTGGCTTTCTCGAACGATACGCCAGGCCTTTCCCAGGAGGCTGTTCCTGCCACGCCACAGCCCCTCCATGAGCTGGGTGCAGGGGCAACGGGGTGCAGGCCCACAGCCGCGTGTGCTTCTTCAGAAGCAACTCCCCGCGTGCAACCTGCAGCCACACCAGCCTCCGGCTGCTTCAGGTCCGTCTCCATGTCCTCACGCTGCCTCCAGTGCTCCCTCCAAAATCCTCTTGTGAATTTGGTCATATTAACTATTGATTTGGTCACATTCACCTATTGATTTTTTCATCAGGCAAAATTTAGCAATACACTTTATCTTTTTAATCTCACTTTTCTGTTTTTAAAATTTATTTCTTACATACGTGACAATAGAGGAGTGCATTACATTCATGATTATCCATTCACAGCACAATTTTTCGAAACTCTATATATAAAGTATGTTCACACCAAATTATGCCATTATACATGAGCTCTCTTATTTTTTTTTACATTATGATTCTTAATACACCTTTAAACCACAATTTTTCATATGTTTGCACACAAGGTATGTTGACACCAAATTCACATCTTCGTACATGTATTCTGTATAATGATGACTGTCTCCTTCCATTATCCTTGCTATTCCCCTTCTCCCTCCCACCCCTATTCCCTATCTAGTGGTAATTTTCCTCCCATGCTCTCCCCCCCCTCCCCTCTTTGAGTCACTCCCCTTATATCAGAGAAAACATTCAGCATTTGTTTTTTTATGATTGGCTAACTTCACATTAATCTTCTCTAATGTCACCCACTTCCCTGCAAATGCCGTGATCTTATTCTTTTTTAGTGCTGAGTAATAGTCCATTGTGTATAAATGCCACATTTTCTTTTAATCCATTCACCCACTGAAGGATATCTAGTAAGCTCCACAGTTTAGCTATTGCGAATCATGCTACTATAAACATTGATGTGGCTGTAACCCTGTAGTATTCTGTTTTTAGGTCCTTTGGGTATAATCCGAGAAGAGGAGTAGCTGGGTCAAATGGTGGTTCCATTCCCAGCTTTCCAAGGAATCTCCATATGCTTTCCAAATTGGCTGCACTCATTTGCAGTCTCACCAGCAATGTATGAGTTTACCTTCCTCCCGCCCCATCCTCACCAACACTGTTGTTTGTCTTCATRATGGCTGCCATTCTTACTGGGGTGAGATGGTATCTTAGAGTAGTTTTGATTTGCATTTCTCTGCTAGAGATGGTGAGCATTTTTCCGCATATTTATTGATTGATTGTATATCCTCTTCTGAGAAGGGTCTGTTCAGGTCCTTGGCCCATTTATTGATCGGATTATTTGTTTTTTTGGTGCTTGTCTTGTCGAGCTCTTCATATACCCTAGAGATTAGAGCTCTATCTGATGTTAAGGGTAAAAATTGAGGGGTAAAAATTTGTTCCCAGGATGTAGGCTCCCTGTTCACCTCACAGATTATTTCTTTTGCTAAGAAAAAACTTTTTAGTTTGAATTCATCCCATTTTTGATTCTTGGTTTTAATTCTTATGCTATAGGCGTCTTATTAAGGAAATTGGGGCCTGCCCCAGTTGATGATGATTAGGGCCTACTTTTTCTTCTATTAGACGCAGAGTCTCTGGTTTAATTCCTAGATCCTTGATCCATTTTGAGTTAACTTTTGTGCATGGTGATTCAATTTCACTTTGTTGCATATGGATTTCCAGTTTTCCCAGCACCATTTGTTGAAGATGCTATCCTTTCTCCAGTGCATGCTTTTAGCACCTTTGTCTAACGTAAGATAGTTGTGATTTTGTGGATTAGTCTCTGTGTCCTTTATTCTGTACCATTGGGAATGCCTTCAGTTTTTCTCCGTTTTAGAATGATGTTGGCCTGAGGCTTAGTGTAGATAGCCTTTACAATGTTGAGGTAAGTTCCTGTTATCCCTAGTTTTTCTAGTGTTTTGAACACGAAGGGTGCTGTATTTTGTCAAATGCTTTTTCTGCGTCTATCGAGATGATCATATGGTTCTTATCTTTAAGTCTATTGATGTGATGAATTACATTTATTGATTTCCGTATTTGAACCAACCCTGCATCCCTGGGATGAATCCCACTTGATCATGGTGCACAATATTTTTGATGTTTTTGAATTTGATTTGCCAGAATTTTATTGAGGATTTTTGCATCTAGGTTCATTAGAGATATTGGTCTGAAGTTTTATTTCTTTGAGGTGTCTTTGTCTGGTTTTGGAATCAGGGTGATATTGGCCTTGTAGAATTAATTTGGAAGTACTCCCTCTTTTTCTATTTCCTGAAATAGATTGAAGAGTATTGTTATTAGTTCTTCTTTAAAGGTCTTGTAAAACTCGGCTGTATATCCGTCTGGTCCTGGGCTTTTCTTGGTTGGTAATCTTTTGATGGCTTCTTCTATTTCCTCACTTGATATTGGTCTGTTTAGGTTGTTTATATCTTCCTGACTCAATCTGGGTAGCTCATATGCCTTAAGGAATTTATCGATGCCTTTACTATCTTCTGTTTTATTAGAGTATAAGGTTTCAAAATAATTTCTAATTATCTTCTGTATTTCTATAGTACCTGTTATGATATTGTCTTTTTCATCCCATATGCTAGTAATTTGGGTTCTYTCTTCTTCTCTTCCTTAACATGGTTAAGGGTCTGTCAATCTTATTTATTGTTTCAAAGAACCAACTTTTAGTTGTGTCAATTTTTTTCAATTGTTTGTTTCAATTTCATTGATTTCAGCTCTGATTTTAATTATTGCTTGCCTTCTACTGCTTTTGATGCTGGTTTGTTCTTCTTTTTCTAGGGCTTTGAGATTAGTATGAGGTCATTTACTTGATGGCTTTTTCTTCTTTTAAGGAATGAACTCCATGCCATGAATTTTYCCCTTAGTACTGCTTTCACAGTGTTCCAGAGATTTCAATATGTTGTGTCTATGTTCTCATTTACCTCTAAGAATTTTTAAAATTTCCTCCTTGATGTCTTCTGTAACCCATTGTTCATTCAGTAGCATATTGTTCATTCTCCATGTGATGTAGGAATTTTTCTTCCTTATTATATCGTTGATTTCCAATTTCATTCCATTATGATCGGATAAAATGCAYGGTAGTATCTCTACTCCTTTGTATTTGCTAAGAATYACCCTGTGGCATAATATATGGTCTATTTTTTAGAAGGATCCATATGCTGCTGAGAAGAAAGTATATCCACTTGATGT